TTTGGCCAAATGCTGAATTCTGCTTCTGCTGAATTCTGCTACTCTTCTACTACCTTTTACTTTTTAATTTCAATATATTTCAATTTTTCTTTTCAGAAAAATTTCCTTTCAAAGTTTCAATGTATCAACATAGTTTTATTTATTTTCTCGCTATATTCCAGCTGTATTTTCTTTATATTCTCTTACATGGTTAATACGTGAACAAGATAATTAATTTATGACGTATATAATAAGTCTTATAATTTGTAAATATAATTATTTTATTTTCTTCATTTGACTGAGAATCTTTTTGTCTGAATTTCTTATTAGAAATAATAATTTCCTTATAATCTCATCATATATAGAAAGTTTATACTTTAAAGTAATTCACTTTCAGGGGCTGTACATACAACTAAATATAAATTCTTAAATTAGGAATTAATTTATAATTAGTTTTTTATTTATAGGTGAGTGAACGATATATTTGATATAAAAATTATACTGTATTAAAATATATCAAATTGGCTATTAAAGTTAATGAATAACAAATATATTTGAGTAAAATATAAATATCATTATTTAGTCAATTATACTATATTATTTTAAATTACATTTAACTATATCAAAATTATATAATCCTCGACCATTCTATTGTGCTGTTAATTATTTATTTCTAAATAGATTTCATTATATATATATAATATTTCGTTGTAATTAATGGAATATAATTACATACATTATTAACAAAAAGGACAGAAGTATTATTACCTACAGTTCAATCAACTTCATTATTTTATTTCGCGCACAGTTTTTAAATATTTATTAAAAAATACAAATTATAAAATATTCATTAATAATTTTATAATTTAATATAATAAAAGTATTAACTTTAATATGTATTAATCTTATATAATTCAAACAAAAAGTAATTTGTGATCAACAATATTTTTATAAAATGTAATATTAACATTAATATTTAAAACGTAGTAATGAATCGTATTGAATAAAAATTTAAACATACTAATACAAATTTCATAATTTCAATTTTAATATTACGATAATTTCAATATTAAATTTTGTTTGATATATTAAAATGATTATAGTTTCTAATTTATTTTTAATATTAAAAATAGATCGCAATCTTTCTGTATGTCCTTAATTTTGAATTTAAGGAAATGATTATTGAAATTCGATTGCAAATCAAAATTAATAAATTCATTACTTCTTTTTAATAGGATTTAAATATCACAACACATTTAACTGCGAATTAATCAATATATAATTATAATTTTTTCATTAATCACACGTGTACCTTATTTTTAATATCAGAACCAATGAGTTTATTTGATTTAATATTTACAACTTAAATGTGTAACAAATAAATAAAAATTTGACATTAGAAAATATTAAAAATGAAAATATTATCTTAACATTCATCAGAGTTACAATTAATTACAAATATACCATTAAGATAACCAATAATGATTATAAACCTGAAAAAATCAATGTTTGAATGAGAAATTTTAATGATTATAAATTAAATTCTAAAATTAAATATTAGTAGAAATGCTAAAAATATGTAAAGTATTTTAATTAACTTAATTTATTAATTATATATATATATATATTTAATTAATTTTCTGTTACGACTAAAATTGGTTTCTTTAAAATTTAAGTTATGAAAATATAAAATAAATTTGAAAACATTTACATATTTTAATAAGATTTGAAAATTCTAAAATTCAATCACATTTAAAATTACACAATTGAATATTATCATGATATTTCTGTTTACTTTTTAAAACTGCTTTCATTGTGTTAGATCAGTTGCAACATCGATAGATAAAATGGAAGACAAACTTATATAAAGGTTTATCTAAAAATCTAACATACCAATATTTATTTGCATTATTTATACTTATAAATTTGATGGAACTATACGTACTTAATAAAACTACATAAAGTAGTTGATTGAATGATAATATTAATATTAGCATTTATGGTAATTACATTAGCATCGTATTTTATAGTTTATACATTTATTTTTTAAATAGTTTCTATAATCGTATTCTATATTGTGCGACTAATAATACTAATATTATATTGAAAACATTGGAGTTAAACCTGTATATTAATTTTAGTTAAACATTATATTTATGATTCATTGAAAAGTTATCATTATTCTGAATTACGTATACGTTAACTTTACTTAAATTCTTTAAATGTAAAATTCCATTGTGTGAACAAATAAATAATTAAAAATTAAAAAATAAGTAAAAATACATTGATTATTTTGCTTTTTGTTATGCAATTTATTCATTCATTGTATATTTTTTAATGAATGTTGAATTAAAAATAGTAAAGAATATAGTATATTTAGATAATATATCTTGGAAAATATCATTTGATGATTTTTATAGATGTTGCAGGACATTGTCGAAGAAAACAAAATATTATAAAACAACATTAAAGAAAATTTCGCTTTATTTAAATTAAATATATTTTAGAATAAAAATTTTTTTTAAATAATAATAAAAACTTTAATTACATTTTTCTCGAATACATATTTAAAATGACTAGGTGCAACTTCTAAAAAAAGTTGATGCACTTTATTAGAAATAAGTATCTTAAAGTAATATTATACAATAATCAATGTGATTTATATTTAAAAGAAAAATTTGTGAAGCTTTTAACTTTATATTTCACGTAAATTTTTCATTTTTCATTTTAATTAAAACCTGAATATTTATTGGTTAAAATTTTTTGAATGATCACAATTTATTATACGTAGTTAATTTTTAAATATTGCATTTCATCCTCTTTTGACACAATTTTTAAATAAGAAACGTTTATTTAATAGCTTATTAACGATAACGTGTAAGAAGAGGCATGTATTAATTTTTATATGCTATACTTATATATTCCCTTAATGAATAAATAACTTTATAGATTATATTTTTCTACCAACAACTATGAATTTTCGATCGCACGAATTTTTTTTAATTTCAAATAAAGAATATTAATATTAAAGAATATTCACAGATATTTCAAAATAAATGTCACTGAATTTTTCATTTTTTAAACCTTAATATTATATAACACTTAAATTGGTAAAATTTTAAACTTTTCATTTTTAATTTGAAAACCATCCATTTTTTAATATATGTTATAATTATAATATAATAACTATCCTATTAGATGTTTGAAACTTATAATAATCTTATAATCCAACATATATCAAATAAATATATTGAAATGAAACCAATTGTTAATCGTTAACACAATACCGCTCTATAATATCAATATTTCAATATTATTTAATTTATTCTACATTTCAAATTTTAAAGAATAATTCTTTATTTATTTACAAAATAAAACTTATTATTTTAATTTAAAAGAAAGTTCTCATTGATACTAGTAAAACAAAATATTTTTTAATGTTTGTTAAATGAAATAAAAAAAAACAAATATTCAAATATGAAGTAAAAATAATAAATAATATTGTTAAAATGTGGCTATTCTACGTTAGAAATTTCATATATTATTTGAAGTCTTAATTTTTCTTTTTAATAAGGCAAATCGTAATATTTTCGCACGATCGATTTCTACTCCAACATTTAATTGTTTCGATGTAGACACGAATTTCTTCAAAACATATCTCACAAAGTAAGATATTGTGTAATTTCTTATTTGGAATGTATATGAAAGTATATATAAAAAATTAATTTTCTACATGTTATTATAATTCATAATAACATTAATATTATGATAAATTAATGAAAGAAACATTTAAATTTTTTACTATTTATATAATGTATGACTATAAAAATAGCATATGTAAAATATTGTATGAAGAGCTTCAATTAAATATTTCTTTTTATATTCAATACATTATTATAGTTAAGGATTTATATTTAAAATTAAATTAACTATTTTTATATATTTAAAATAATTTTGGTTTTTATTTTTAATGAAAAAATATATAATTTAATTATTAAATTTATTATATATATTTATATTTATTTATTTTCTCATTTATTAATTAAAAATATGTGCAACTATTAATGGAATTACTGTTTGGTATCGTTTATATACTTTAATTCAAAACTACATTATATTTATCATTTTCCATGAAATTGTACATATATTTCTGCAACAATATATTATTATCATGACATTTTTAATTATTATTTTAAAATATTTGTATAAAATTCAAGTTTTGTAATTTTTTTTAATGGTTGTCATTATTTAATAAAAATTATTTAAACGTCAGAAATATAAAAAATATTATTAAATATTAGTTTTATTTATAATATTTGTTAAAAATTTAAAAAGAATAAGAGTTTTCAAATATTCATCAATTTATATCAATTAATTATATTTAATGAAAAATACTTTATCCTGAAAATTGCTATACTACATAAAATAGAAGATTAATGAATTTTTGTGAAAATGGTAAAATTATATATTTTATAAATGAATACTATAATCAATTTAATGATTTGTAAGCAATATTGACAAGCTTATTTATTATACGCTTGATATCATTTTTAATTTAATTCAATCAAATTCCATGTATCTATACAAATTACTCATTAAAATATTTTTACGAAAAATATCAGACTCTGAAGAAAATTAAATAAAATTGAATTCTGCGTTATTACAACTTTGATAGCATAATTTGCATCTAAAAACATCTTAATAATTATTCATGAAAAAATCTTCCTATAAGTGTATTGAATATTTGAAAAGAAAACATTAATCCATGCCTACATCGAATAAATAAAAATATTTTTTATTATACTGCATCATAAAAATCTTATTCACTATCTAAATCTTAATAATTTATTATGTTGATGGACATCACTTGTTCTATGTAAAACTTTAATTTTTCTCAATCATTACTCTATATGAGGCACATCTTCCTTTACAGTGTAGTAGCCCATTTGCTGTTTCAGAATCTCAAGCTTTTAACGCAATAAAGACCTTTTATATATGGCATATGCTTGAGACCCGTGATTTCAAGCTGCGGACATGTTACGCAGTAGTAGTAGTAGCCTTGTGACGTTTCCGTAACTCTCGACGCGTCATAGTGCCAGCACCTCCTGCTAGAGAAGCAGTTAGACCCATAGAATTTCCCAAAGACCGACCTTCGCAGTCAGATGTCGGTACAGATTTCAACTCCCTATTAAATTATTATTAAATAAGTACTTCGAATATAATTTTTTATTTAATTCTACCATAAGTAGAAATTAATTAAATTTGATAGTAGTTTTTGCGTTATTATTTACCGAAGTGATAGACAATAAATTTTTTAATATTCTACAGAACTATATAATTATTTTTATAAAGGAACTGTTTAACTATAATAAAAATATTGAAATTAAAAAATTAAATTTTGAATATTGATTTCAAATTTTACATATAATTTGTATTTACAATGATTTATTTAAAATGTTGTATAGTTTATACATATTTGTTATTTATAAATAATATTTGTTCTTATAATATTTATTTGATAAATAAATGTTAATATGTTTAAACCATAACTAATTATTTCAAGTAAATATGTAAAAAAAAAATAATTTTTCATTAATGAATGATTAATCTTTTAATTATGTTAATATGATAAAATGTTTGTAAAATCACCTATAATTAAGTAATTCCTCATCATCTGGTACTCTGGATATTAAGTCTAGTATTTCATTATTGGGTATAGTGTGTGGCCTGATGATTTTCCTAGCAAATTTATTAACGCCCCAGACTAATATCAAATAGCGTATGGGAATAAAATATAGCACCATAAATCCAAGGATCGCCAATAACATTGCAAGATAGCTAAGATAGGGAACAGTGAAATTGAACAAGTTTTTTACTCTTTCACAAAGACTCGCTATGTAGCCAATTGAATTTTGTACCGTTTGCGTTACTTCTTGAATGGCTTGTAATCTTTCTTTTAAACTCTTTTTTTCTTCCTATTAAAATAAAATAAATGATAATAAGAATTAGATAATGAATACAAAAACGTGAAATTTACCTTATCTTTATCATCATCATCGTCGTCGTCATCACCGAGTGTTAATGGTCCATCATCTGCATTTAAATCTAAAGAATCTTGAATTTGAACAGTTATTTGGTGAGGAAGAGAAGCTCCAGTCAAAATTGATACCTGGTTATAAATAAAAAATTAAAACTAATATGTGAATTACTTTTGTTTATTACATTTTTTGAACTTATATTTAATTTTTATTCTATATTTTCTCTCATAATATAATTATGTAAGCCTTTTAACTGTAGATGAATTAATTACAAGGTTAATCTAACAACATTTACTATTTCATATTTGTTCGCATATATAAATTTATCATCTGATATAGATATGTTAAATTTTATTACTTTTTTGAAAATCAATATAAAATATTTAGCTATTTTTATTTATAAAAAATTTATTAAATCAACATAAATGATTCTCAATTGTACATATTACTTTTATAGCATTCCTAAATACTTTGTTATCTATTGAATATAATAAGTAATTATTATATTATGTAAAATAAAGTTTTTTTAAAAGAAAATTGTATTTGCTTAGTTTATTATAACTAATTGGTTAATAAATCTTATTTTTATACAATAAAATATTAATTGAATTATAAAAATGTCAATTTCGATAATTAAAATTAAAACAATTACATAATTATGATATAATTAAAATTATAATTTCACACAATTATAGTACAATAAAAATCGTTTAAATACAAATAAAAATTGTTTAAATACAAATTTAAAAATTCATAAAAATCCTGAATTTTTATGTATTTAAATTATTTACGAATAAAATGAATTTTGAACTAACATCCTAAAAATATGGAATGCAATACATGTGGGTACATAGAAACATGTGGGAGCAGATTTAATTACACAAGAATTAAGGCATGTTTTATAAAATAAAATTATATCTTACCACGTAATACTTGAATAAGACAAAGAATGCAGCAGTTGGTATCATGTAAGGCTCAAAGTAATAAACCACAATCATAAAAAATATAAGCGCTATTATGCTTCGCATTTTACTTTCCCATTCCCAGCAACTTCTAATTAAAAAGAATGGGCATTAAAACGCTATATTTATATATAAAGATTATTCAACATAACTATATATAACTAAGTATAAAATGATACATTTGAATTAATATAAAAAAAAACAATAAATTAATTTATTTTAATTTAACTCTTATTAAAACAACTTTGTAATTTCTTTCAATTTTTAGAAAAAAAAAAATTAACATACATATCCAATTATAGCAATAAATAGTATAAAAAATAATTTAAAATTTAAAATATCTAAATAAAAATCAATATATGTACGTTAAAAAATTGATTGATTTACTGATTTTTATTTGTAAAACCATACAAAATCGATCGAATTTAAAAAATGATTTTGTATTATTTATTACGATAATATTGAATTTTCTACATTGTGTTTCATAATATTGTATATTATTTAATATTAATTATATGAGAGCAGAATAATAAATAATTTCACTATATATCAAAATAAGTAACAATCTTGTAGAAAATAATTTATAATTACAAATACATTTTACTTTGTAAGAAAAAGCGCAAAGTAATAAGTAATAGCCCTGATCGTAGTTTCTACTAAAAAATATTAATAAGTAGTTGTATATTTATAAAATAATTTTATTTTCAGCCAATTAAGTTAACCATTCTGAATTGAAACGAACATTTTAATGAAAATGAAGTTTATTTATATAAAAATATCTATAGAAATAATAACTAAAAAATTATATTCTTATATTTTTATGCATAGAAAAAATTATTTTAAATTTCTTAATTCTGGAACCTAAAAGACTTCAAATTCATTATTTACTGTATGAATGTATATAAAAACTAAATAATTAATAATTATTAGTTTATTACTTAGATGTAAATTGAGATGAATATTACTTTTCTTGTATAACATAATTAAAAATTCTGTTATACAATTTTTCAAATTCAATTTTTAACATTAATTGTTTATTAATATTTATAAATAATTAATTGTACATATATTTATGAAAATTACAAAATTGACCATTTACGCTCCTAGAAAATAAGAATAAGAGATTCTTATAAATATACTTAAACATAAAAATGATTGGATAAGTATTATTTCATAACTGCTATTATTACAAAATTTGAATAAATCCAATATTATTTCCGAAAAATACAATAATCTGCATTAATTAGGGTATATAAATATATACTATATAGATGTTTTAAAGCTTTTACAATCATGATACTTACACTATCTTTAAGTAACAAAAAATAGACTACACGCGGAATATAATTAAAAATTTTTTTATTTCATAATATTTATTTTCTTTATTAATATTCATTATTACCATTAGAGCTAATAAAAATAATCAAATATTAATATATCATGAAATCTCAATCTTTTACACATAAAAGCATTTGCATTGTACGGATTTATATAAATTTTTGTATAACCATTCAATAAAACTTGAATATAAGACAAAATAAATTCTCTTTTAAAAAATTGAAATTGAATTATTAATAAAAATTATACTCGTTAATCAAATCGTTGATCAAATTCAGTAAACTCATTAAACTCATTAAGTTAAAAAATATAGAACTAATTATTAACATTGAAAGAAAAATTGTAAAAACATAGTATTAAATCAAAATGTAACTATCAGTCATATATAAATACTCATGTAGTGAAACACTCGAAAAAGTATTTTAATAAACCTTTAGTATTTTGTTGAGAAATTGAAGGCTTAAAAGTAAATGTTCTTAATTTACTCTTAGTAACTTCTTTAATACATAATATATCGAATCATTTCATTAATTTTGTGTAATAATTTTTTAGCTTTATTAACACTTATTTAAAGTTTATAATTATCAAATATTTTATAATTTTAAAAGTAAATAAACAAGCATTGCTAAAAATAGAATTTGACAATTCTTATAGTTCACTATAAATTAAAAATTTATTAAACTCAAAAAATCCAATATTTTTGATAAGAAAAATTATAATCTTATTTTAAATTGTGAGTCTACTAAATAAATATATATATATATATATATATATATATATATATATATATATATATATATAAATTAGTATGTACTAATTATATATCAGCAAATTATAAAACAATGAATATAAAAATTTTTTTTGCTAATTTATATTCTCTTAGTATTTTATGTATCGAAATGAGAAACAAGAAATATAACAAAAATTAAGTAATTATATACTATTAAATTATATTACTGTAAAACAAACCTATAATCGTGATAAATATTAAAATATAATAAATTTTTATTGCTAATATGAAAAAATAAAGGAATGCTTAATCTTACTGAATATATTTGCCCAAATCGATGAATGTAACAATAATTGATTTGAGTCTCAGAACATTTCTGAGAAAGACTTGTCTCTTGAATTTTATCTCCGGTTCCATATACTTCTTTTCTTTTGGATTGAGGGTCCTTATACAAGCACGCAAAACGTTCCAAATGATCGTAAGTTCGATTAGAATTTGTGGACCATTGCCCTTTGCGCGACATCGTAACTTCTTGTCTTTTAAGGCGTACCAACGCTTTTCACCATTCTGTATTTTCAATAGTGGTATTACCACTTTACCAAGAAATTCCACCTTATGATCTCTATCTTCATCATATACCGTCACTTCCAGCACTGAATTTATATCTTTCACATTGCTATAAAAATATTTCCTTGCTAGATTCAAACATTTTGTAATGAAATTTAAATTAATTACTTATTGCTCAACCTTTTCATTATATTTTAAAATATATGCACTATATTTCAGCATTAAGTAAAGTTAAAGGAATTGCTTCTCAAAACTAATTTTTCTGTAAAGACTTACAATATTTTTAATTACTTAATCTTTAAAAAGAAGACATTTATTACACATTTCATATATATAAGAATTCGTAATCAAATTATAGATAATGTAAACATTTTTATTTAAGCTTTTAATAAAAAAATCTGTGCTATATCTTTTAATAAGTCTTGTAAAATAACCAATATTTATTAAATAATAAAAATAAAATATATTCTATAATATATATATATATATATATATATATATATATGTAAGTTAAAATCTATTGGATATGTATATGTTAAAAATTACTTACAATGTGAATATTTTTTGCCAAATAGGAGCTAATGTTTTATATTCAGTTTGAGTTTGCAATCTTGAATTTACAAGTTCAAGAACACAAAACGGATCACTTTTACCTCCCAAATCAGCTGCAGCAAGACCTTGAGCTCGATAGACCTAAAAGGAATTGATAAAATTGTACGTTATTAATCATTTCAAATTTAATTTTAGATTACAATAATTTATTCCTATTATATGATGATTAGACAATTTCAATCAAATTAAAATTCTTTATAAAAACAATACATTAGCTAAAGTAGATACGCGTTTGACTAAACTTAATAAATAGAAGAGATATAAAATTATTTGAAATTTTTAAGTAAACGTAGTAATAAAAAAAATAATAGGGTACAATATAATCAATATAATCAATAAACAAACAATATAATCATTATTCAGTACCAACAGTTATATATTAATTTATAAAATATGAAATTTATAGTCCAATAAGCATTTTGAAGTTTATATTTGGTATTAATACATTTGGTAATTATAAAAATCAAAATAGATAATTTAAAATAATTTTTTTTAAATAATAAAAAATTTTAAAAAATGTTTATATTAATTGAAAAGAATTTAGTAAAATAAATATAAATTCAATTGAGAATACAGTAAAAACATCGATTACTTCTTGATGCATATTTGTATATATAAATGTATATATTTGTATAATGCATATATATTTGAATTATTAAAAATACAAATGTTATAATGAATTTTAGTTTGAATTCATTGTTTTTAATTACAATATTTCTATAAAACAATAAATTCTAAATTTATATGTTCACTTATATTTTCTTTTTATAAGAAAAATCAAGTTCATTTACATCATTATCATATAAATAAGTATTAAAATATATAATTATGAATGTATTCATTTTGTATTAAAAAACTATTTTCATTATTTATTTTGAGAAAAATAGAACAAAATTATAACAAGAACTACCTTGACTGTTAAATGCCCAACATCTTTGATCCTTTGAAGGGTGTTCGATAAAGAATATTTCTGAATAATTTGCACTTTTTCTTGGTGTGACTCTTCATGTACTGACAGATCACTAATGGTTTCACTCGCTGTGGTGCCACTTATCGTAAGCAACAAAAAAATATTTCCCGCACCATCTTCAAGACTCCGCCACAAGCGATGCGTTGTTTCACGCCCTAAAGTTGTAAGATCGATAACGACACGCCCCATGAGATCATCTTGATGACTACGATCCCTATCCCAGAGAGTCACCTCAAGCTCTTGACCTACATATGGATCTTCATAAAGGTGGAGATCAAATTGCTCAAGCCATATGGGGTTTAACGTCTTATTTGCAACTTTCGATTTATATTTTTCTGATCCCAAGCTATTTAGAAATTCAACCAATACTTTTGTAAAATCAGACTGTTTTTAATTTATTATGTATATTTTAGAGTATTATAATAAATCTATATTATTAATGTATACTTAATACTTAATGTATTATATCAACCATTGTACTATTATATCAACTATTGTACTTTCACACAAATAATATAATTTTATTTAAATATTTATCCATTAGATAACAAAAAAAAGGTTTTTTTTATTAAATATAATTTTCGACGTTCATCATAATATTATGAATTATACAATAAAAATATTTAAATTTTTTATAAATAAAAAATAATAAACAATGAAATGATATTAAAATATAAAGAAAATAATAATAAATTGAAAATTTATAATTGTGAAATTTTAATAATCGCACGTTTGATTCTATTCAATAATTATTTCATTACTTACAATCGTTATGATAAGCTGATGAATATCTAATACAATTTCATAATTAATTACTAATAATTTATAAAGAATTATTTTTTTACAATTAACAATTATAAGCCAAATTAAATTTAGAAAATAACAATAAAAATAATAAAATTGTAAATCATAGCTTATATTGTAATAATTTTATGATAATTTTTAAATAAATTTTTATAAATCTCGATTTATTATAAAATATGAAATTTAATTATAGTTTTGAAATTTATTTTTATTAATAATACAAAAATATATACTTTTAAATTTATTATAATAATTAAATAATGTAAACTAGAATAAATAATTTCACATTTATTAATCTTACTAATTATTTAACTTACCGAAATTTAACATATGGATCTGAAAGACCATCTATATGCATTGGTAATAAATTTTTTGCTTCAACGAGAACAATTGTAACAACAGAACTCCATATTTGAGATTTTAATTTCCGATTTACTTCTGCCAAACGACTACTTCTTTGAAAATACTAAAAAATATATATATAATACATAAATATATATAAATATATTTAATTATACATTATAAAATGAATCAATTAATTAATCGATTCTATATAAATATATTTTTAACTGATTTTATAACATTAATCATAAATAAAAATTTATATCTATATATTTAATCAATTAATCAATTATTTACAAAATTATGATTATATAATTAATTAATTTGACTAATTATAAAATTTATACATTAACACTATTCAACTGAAAATTAATATATTTATATTTTATTTACACTTCTTAAATTAAAAAAATAAATTAAATTAAATTAAATTAAACAAGAATTAATTATTTATTTAAAATTTCTTATATCATATATACTGATAAAGAAATTTTAAAATTTTTATGATTTAATACTTGAATATTATCAAATTATTATTAAAAGAATCATTTAGTAAAGTTCAACAATTTTATTTTACAAAATTTTTTTCGATTTATACTTTTTCAATTTTCATATACCCTGTGAATATCTTCCATTTTATTTTTCAAATTATCCTTTATTTTATTGAAACAATCTGGAAACTCAAATGTAAGAATAGAAGTTTCATTTTCAATTATAGATATCTTCATATAAGTAAATGCAGATATTGATGATAATAAGATATCAAATGCCTTTGAGATTAGTGAATTCGTCGCGCTTTCAGTAGTTTTTATTATTTTATTCGGAAGTGTTGATTCAGTATTTGATTTATACTTATGTCGCTTTTTTGTATCCAGTATTCCTTAGAAAGTTGTGTACGCCTTTGTCATGAAGGTATATATTTGTAATATTTTGTAATATATTTATCACTTTCGGATGTTATACTAATGTCGTATTGACTTTTAACCTTTATTTTTAATCACTTATGTATTTTATTTGAAAATAATAAAATAAAATTTTATTTACGAATTTATGGTTATAACTTTCACTGAAATCAATAAATTAATATAAAGATGTGTAGAGCTATTTAAGTAATGAAGTTTTATTACTATTTTCCATATTTTTTGTCTAATAAAATTTATTATTTATTCTATATATTCTATATATATTCTCTATATATTTCCATATTATTAAAACTAAGTCACTAATATAAAGAATATATTTTTAATTAAATAAATAAGAAATTGAACAAATTTTATTAGTATAAAAAAAAAGAATTTTGAATCTCACTTTACACACAGCTCTCTTTTTATGGAATTACCTATCTTGTATCGTATCTACAACCTTCCATTTATATATAAATATGTTTCTGACTTATTTCATATTTATGCAAATTGAAATTCTTTAAAAATTATATACAGAGCTTTTTTCAAATGTTCTCCGTAAAATTTCCATTAGGTGCAATTTCTATCCAAGTAATATCTTCGATGTGCTTTTCATTGGTAATTTCATAGATCACTTAACTAGTGATTTATCGATTGTTTAATTTACAATTATGATTGAAAAGTTATGCGTTTCTAATAATTTCTTTGTCACTAACATTATTACTAATAGCAATTAATGAAAAAACATCATTTACTGCTTCAGAAGTTCAGAATGTTGATATAGAATCTCTGAAAACTTCTTCACAATGATTTTAAATTAGTTCATACATTTTACTGTAACAGATTTTGTTCATATTTATTCGAAGAAAAATTGAAAATATATGTGAATATTAAGTGTAATACTTTTTACGATGTAAAACCATTTGTCTATTGAACTTCATTCTTAATAAAAAAGATAAAATAAATCCGCCAATATTCTTATTTTTCATATATAATATTTAAAAAAAATAATATAATTTTAATAAGCAATATTTAGAAAAAAGATATCCAATTTGATAACATGTTAGAAAGTAAAAAATAAAACTAATTGTTATTTAAAAAAACTTTAATATCAACTTAATTTCAAAACATATTTTTAAACTTTAATTTAACAAATAATATATAAAATTACTTGTTAAATTCTGTACACAATACAATGTAATATATATTAACAAAAGCTATATTATATTAATACATTTACATGTGCAAGGTTTTATCGATTATTTAACTAAAAATCTTTATATACTTTTTAATACACATAAACAATACTTTGAAATCTATTCGTGGTTTCAGTAAAAATAGATACTTCAATTTGTATGCAATATGAAAATGAAAATTTTTTTTAAAAAATTAAATATGCCAACTCACTATAATATATATAGTATAATAATAATATATAAAAATTTCATTATATATATAGAATGTTTTCATTGTGCTTAAATTATAAAAGTTGAAATACGATAAACGTTGAATAAATTAATAAGTATTTGATAATTTTATGGCACTTCATTAAATGTGCCAAATTCAAATTAATTATTTTTTATTTATTAAAATGATCGATTTTGCTATACTGTGTATTTGATATATAATCACCGTTAGATAATAAACTAAAACTTAAAAGTATTTACAATTAATTTTTTTAAGTTTTTGTCGGTAATTTAAATTTTTAGTATTTCTATTTATAGAGAAAATAAGAATCTGAAATATTTTATTACTATAATTGTTAAATATTATATAAATGCATATTGCATTATATAATAATAATTGTAAATAATATAGAATTTTGTATTATAATCATAATAAGAAATATAGTCAATACAAAATTATTTATAAATAATTTTTTTTTTATATTATTTATTAATGATTGTAAGTTTTATTTTTATTATTTATATATTACTTTTATTAGAAGAAAAGCTTTCTTTTAATTATTGTAAAAATTCACAAAATATTGTAATTTCATAATCTTAGTTCATTTTTTCTCTTTGTTTATATTGGAATTATATTCACAATGAATTATAACAAGTTACTTTAAGTAGATAAATTTAAATGGGAAAATAATAAAAAAATAGTTAAAAAATTTTACTCATTGTATAATAACAATAAATATGAAGCTACTAATATCACTATTTAAATATACTGTAAAAAACTTTAAAAGAAACAAAACATATTGGGATTTACTTATAATTTTAAAACAGTAAAATCTAAGACACGATAAACACATAGGTGTTCTAGAGTTTCTCCGACTCAATACTGACGTTATCGTTTGATTCTAGTTGGTGCTATCGTTTTTTCTAAGCTTTATACATATGTGCTCCCCTCCTACATTACTGAATACTGAAATGCAAATACTAAATTAATTTTTACTTAACTTATTATAAGAATATTCAGAAAAACCAAAGCTTTTCTGTTAAATAAAAGTCAGTTGATATCTACTTAGATGAATTTGAAGCTATTTGAAAATTTTTTAAAATATATTATTATTAGACAAAGATTGAATTAATTTTAAAAAATTAGAATTTTCCATACAAATTTTATTTATTTAATTTATTATTTACTTAATTATTTTATTAAAAATAATAAACTAAAAAATTTTATTCCAAAATCATTAACATGAATATTACTAACATATAATATTACTAACATCATATTATTTTAATTTTTACAATACCATTTCCAAAGCTGCCTAAAGTACACAAATCAGATGAGTATAAAATATAACTAATCACCTTTAAAAGTAAACGCATTTAGTAAATGTTTTATTTACAAACACTAAATAAATTAACTTTATTATGCAACATTAAAGATAGTTACAAAGATATATTTATATAATAATTTACTTTCAGATTTGTGATAAGTAATCCCAACATATATATTCAGATGTAGAAAATATAATTATAACAATAATTTCAAAAAATTATTTCGAAAATACTAATTTTTTATATCATTATTACAAGTAAAAATATAATATTAATAACTTATTTGTTGTTAAGCTTTGTTTCTAAATACAATAATTTATAATTTATACAAATTTTAAATACATTATGTAAAATAAAAACCAACAAAATAAGTAATAAAAAGAATTTGATAAATAAATAAAAAATTAAAAACTTATGAAGTAATTAATAATCATTTTTTAGTATTCTGTTCATTTAAATTGTTGATTCAAAAGTATTTCTATTAATTTTAAATTGCTAATAATTTTAAGAATTTAAAAAATATTAGTTTTATATTTAGAATATAAATAGTTTCAATAAATTTGTTAATAAGACAACATAAATTATCAATTTTATGTCATTAAATATGTGACTTATTTAGAAATTGTGTTTTAGTTATTTTTTATTAATTATTAATTACACATTGTATTAAAATACAATATTTTATTATTAATTGAATTCACTACATAATAATTATTGTATTTAATCCTTTGTAATATTAACACCTCATAATAATTAAATACGTTCACGTATACGATGCGTATTTAATACAAGGTTGATGTTCAAAGTTGATATGTGTTCAAATTTTTCAATTAGATTTTATGAAAATCGCATATGCATGCGTTAGTTGTTCATGGTCACTCAACGTATATTCAAAAATTGTAACATCTAGCTTTATATAAGATTATGTACTGGAAGAAATGATTTATGATTTTCTATATAATTTTAATTTACTTATCAAAAGAAATCACTTTTAGTATCAAAGTTGTTAATTAATAAAATAGTGTAATGCAAATAATAATTAGAAAAGTTATATTCAAACGGCGATGGTATAAATTACAATAAAAAATTTTTAAAATAAATTAATTAAATTAAATTAAATTCAATAATTTAAATTTAATCTAAGAAAAACGAATGATTTTAAGATTCTCTTATGACATTGATAAAGTATTTTATGTAATCGTATTCATTAAATATATTATTTAATCATATACATCCACACAAAAACATAGCTATAAAGTTATTCGTAGTCGTGATAAGATGCATTAAGTTAAGTTTGAAGGACGATCAAGAAAATGGGTTTGTACATTAAACATCATACCCAACATTGTAAGAACATGTACATAAACATTTCCAAAAATATTCAAATCAATTTTTCTGTTAAATACCATCCATAATATTATCAATGTATATTATCTGTCCAATTTAAAATTAAACTTAGATAGTGCTATCTCTAAGGGAAGAAAAAAGAAGACCCAAATTCAAAATAAAAGCTATTATTAGTGTGTAAATATTTCGCATTTAATTTAATATTACTAAAAATATTTTTTAAAACTTAATTTTTAAATTTTAAGGTTATTTGAGTTTGTTTTAATGTTTGATATCTTAAACAAAGTTAAACAAATCTCATTTTTAAATATTTTAATAATACGATTATATTGTAAAAGTTTTATTGTTTTATTCATTTGTTTTTATTTATTTAAAAACCATTACCTATATAATTTTAACTTACATAATTTAATTTCATATTGACGAAATAAACACCTTATAAAATTTTATACTCATTATAAGTACATAATACAATTTTATATGTAATAAAGATATCTTTCCTTTCTTGTTCTAAATATCAAAAGTTGCATATAACTTTATTGTACACATACAAATTATAAACGATAAGTCAACTACTTCCGCTAACTCAAGCCTTGATTATACATCCATACATTCGTTATGCCATTATTTTTATTCTTTTATCAATGATATACACTTATTGTTCAATAACATAAGTGATAATACAATTACGATATTATTACTGCATTCAATATAAAGAAACAACTGTTTAACATCACTACATGAACTTATAATAGTGAATTGACAGAATTTTTTAAAAATATTTTCAAGAATATTATTTTTTAATTATTTCATGATTTTATATTCTTTTAATATACGTTTTATAAATTCTAATAATATGTAAAATATTAGTTTTTTATAAATAAACAGCAATTAATTATAATTGTTAATTTAAAGAAATGCAATTTAAAAAAATTATAAGTGAAATACTTAGTTCATTTTAAAAAGCTAATGTTTAAATACTGACAAATAATATAATAAATAAAACAATAAATATCCTCTGTGCAACATCAATTTATTTTTATTATTTACTATTGAAGTAATATTGCGTAAGCTCCTACCTGTTCTTTTTCATGTTGATTTCTGGGCCATAACGTAGCAGATATATAAATTTCTCCAAGATACTGTCGTGGTCGAGCAAGATTTTTAAGCTCTAATGTAATATCTTGACACTGTCCTATATTCAATTGTCTTAAATCAAGCAATGCTGCACCCATGAAATCATCTTGAAATCCCCAATCAAAATCAAAAACCTAATTAAATAAGAGATTTATTCAAATATATAATAACATTATAATGATATGTAAAAAATTATATTAAAATTCGGTTCATAAATAGCTAACGCCATCTTATTAATTCGTAATTCAAATATTCTTTATAAGATTGACATTAAATTTTTTTATAAATTTCAGGTATATATAATATTACATACTTTCATTAATGTCTTAAAGGTGTTGTTGAATATTTTATATTTCAATATTTATATAAACTTTTAAACTCAGATAATATAAGAAATATAATTCTTTAAAAAAAAACTTTTTTTAATTCTTGCATTAATCGTAATAACGTATGCATATCTACTATGGTATGAATTTTACATATTCTATTCGAGAAATATAATTAAAATATCATTATATTGAAAACAGTATGTTGTAATATTTAAAACAAATTTTTTGAAATTTAATTTCTATAATTATTTAGCATTGTAATAATTCAGTATAATTTAACAATAAAATAATATAAACGAATGTAAAAATATCCAGGGTTACATTATATTAGTATTTATATCTTTATAATACACGACAATACTTATTTTAAGTAATATTAAAATTTGCATATACATATAAGTATCATGATTTATTACAATAAAAACTAACTGTAAAATAATTACAATAATCATCGTGTATTAATTAATATAGTCATAATTTAAAAATCTTCAATACATTTTTTTTATTTAAAGCTTTTACATAAAATATAATATTTTAATATATTCAGCCCTAAAAATTAATTTTTCCAAAAACATATAAGAAATTGTATTAATATTCAGATAGTTCTCACAAATTTTGCAATCGCTTTAAGGTACATCTACATCTACATACTACAGGAAAAGAAATATCAATCATAAAAAATATTCTTTTATTAAATTGAATTATACCGTTTGTAAAGAACTTTTCAAATTTTTTATCGACATATATTACTTCTATATCACTACAAGATATCAATAAGTCTCAAATACGGATCAATAAAACCGAAAGTCGTATAAAATTCCGAATGAATAATGCAGATTAATCATAACAAAAATTTAGATTAAATTTCAATTAGATTTTCTAATCTAAAAATTCAGGCATATGTGTAAATAAATGACTAGTTAAATAATATTTATATAAATTCTATTTCATCTTTTGTTAGCATAGTAAAATGATGGTATAAATTTATAAATAGTCACAACAAATTTATTAGAAAGGGAAGTTCAAAGTAGCAAAAACTACAAAGATTGTTTATAAGACTTTAAGAAAACTTTCCATTTGCAACAACATTTGTTGTATTAAAATAAAACTTAAAATCGTATTTTCATTCGATGTTTTGAAATCCACTTCCCATAGTTATCTAATTTAACATATTTTAGATAGGATATTGAAGATAAAAAATTTCGGTAAATTGATAAATAATATAATTTCAACAGCTATTTTGAATAAACTACTAAGTATTGAACATGATAAATGTTATGAGGATATATTTCAAAGTGTGTACAATTGTTGAAGAGATTAATTTAAAAATTAATATTAATAAAATTAAATAACATCATACTTGTATAAGCTCAGTAACTTAATAAAATAGACTGATTTCAAATGATTTCATTATTACAATCGTTATTACAAATTTTACAAACTTATTTAAATAACAAAAGTACATGAATAAAATAAATGATTTTAATTATAGTATAAATTTATCGTTTTACTAAATGAAATTAGACTGTCTTAGTTGTATTTTCTTCAAATACATAATACTGAATACAAATACATAATACATAATACATAATACAAATACATAATACTGAAAACTGTTTAATTTAATAATTTATATAATTTTATGATGTAATTTAAAAACTCATTTAATATTTAAAAATAATTATATTTATTATTACAATAAGTTGACAATTTTATTTTAACACATAATTCTAATAAATTAACATATGTTTGTAAATATATAATTAGAAAAACAAGCTTTTTCTATTATTCAATTTTAATAATTTACCTTGAAATTTATTGGTTGCAATGGATCTTCAATTGGTAATGTCACGCTTTCATCCCACACTGGATTTAATTCTCTATGAACTATTCGTGACTTATGTAATAAACGACCGCAGGATTTAATTTTGACATAAGGATCACTAGCTCCTATAAATAAAAAATATATAATAAAATAATTTTTTATAATAATAAATGCAAAGTCATTTAAAATTTTTTAATGTATTTCAAATACTAGTCGAATCGTATCATACTTCTAAATAAGGTTTTAGTTGTAAATAAAAATACTCATAAATATGAATTAATGATAATATTTTTATTTTAATAATAATTATAATTTATCATTGAATTTATAAATATTTTTTAAAAATGAATAATCTTCTTATGGCCAACCAAAGATGTAACCAATATCAACTTTTTGCAATTCTTTTCGCCGGATCATAAGCATTACAATTTGATTGTATGACAGATTTATAAATAGCTGAATAAGATATATTTGAAATAAAATTATGAATGATAACCAAAATTAATTTCCTAAAGATTAAAAAGTGAGTATGATTAAATAAAGAATTACCATCATTTTTCCTACATCTCACATATATATATCTATCTAATAAATAATGCCAACACGGTAAGTATGTAGTAAAAATGAAGTAATAAATAATTTCAGATTTGATTTAACAAAGATTTTGAACTATCCAATTTAAACCAAATATTAATTATGGCAGTGATGTATTTTTATACACTACATTCTAATAATATTTTCAAGTTTAAATGCTCTCTCTGTCTCTCTGTCTGTCTCTCTCTCAGTCTCTTTCTTATAAAATTACAGCATATCTAATGAAATCACTTGCTTAAAAAGTAAACCATCATACTAGCTTAAAGTTAATAAAGACAATTTCATTTATCACAACACCAACGGATCGAAAAAATCATTGAATAAATAATTTATTTCTTTATTATATTACAATTATATTCTTTAATAAAATAAATATATTCTTAAAATTTTTATCTAATAATTTATAGACTAATGAAAATAATAGAAGTATTTTAATATCATTTGTTTATAATAAGAAAATTTTAATTTTTACAATATTCAGATATGCTGCATATGTATAGATATTTAACTTGTTTTTGTTAAATTGAAATAAAAACATTCAAATAAAAAATTGTTACAACAGTAATAATAAAATATTTAAAAGATATTTTACAGGCAAGTACAAGAAATTTAAAATTATTAAATTATTTTCGTATATTGTACTTATCACCTGCTGCAGATTATTCAAATATAATAATGTATTTATTCTAAAATTTTACAGACTCTTAACTAACCTGAGGTGTAGAAATTACATACAAAAATTAATAAAAAATATAAGTATGAAAATTTTATTATTATATCAAAAACATATATAAATTGATAAAATTTAATAATTTAATACATTCATAAAAAGTCATTAATGTATCCTAGTATAAAAAATGTGTATATACATATTATATTAAAAATAAAATATTACATAAAAGATTACAAAACAACATAATGTTCCATTATGCTATCAGGCTCCACGTATTTTCTCTCCTTTATTACATAATATATATGTTATTATTCGACATTACTAATTTTTAATCGGTAATTCATAAATTACTATTAATGTATTTCATTAATAGAAATACCTGGTCGATAAAATATTGTCACCTATTTTACTCTATCCTATTAAAATATAAGATTTTGTTGATTAATTTATATTTCATTTCAAATAATTTTATATAATTAATTAGAATCAGAATTGTATTGATGGTTTACCCTTTTTTCTGTACTCGTAAACTAGATTACTTTATTTAAATAATATCGTAATAAGATTCTGATAAATAGATGTAATTATATCACTTAAAATAATATTAGTGACTCGTTTACCTTTCAACCTACTCCTGCAAATGTCCTTATGTAATATTTTTAATAAATGTTCTCTCAATTTCAAAAATTTTTTTCGAAAATGATTATGAATTACCATTTGTATTATAAAGGAATGCAGAAAAGTATATATACAAAATAAAAATGAACTTTTTATGTTTTATTAGTAATACTTTAGTGTGTAATTTTTGTGTTTCATTAAATATTTTTTGTAAAGAAATTATGAAATAATTTTTATTAAAATATTTTCACTAGAAGTTTTGTTAGAATAGAAATTTTTTAAACATAAATATTATTAAGTAACCAAGATAAATAAGAAAAAGAACTTAAAAATATAGTTTAATAATAATTTCATATATTTACATTTTTCATTTTTATGCATATGAAAATTATTATACAGTAGTTATTTAGTAATTTAAAAGAAAACAAAAATATAACAACGCAGAATTCTCAGTGATATGCTTGAATTATAAAAAGTTAAATTACATCAAATCAACATCTACATAATATAGATAATATAGATTTTATCAGAAACACCAGCAAAATAATTTAAAATTAATATAAAATGTTTTGAAAATTTCATAAGCTTTGCTTTCAATTAACTACTTGTTGTAGATAATGTGAACATTTAATTACAAAAAAATATATATATATCCTTATAGCTGCAAATATTGGCATATCAGCTAATATTAATAGTAGGTCTAATTAAATAGTTAAATTTTAAATTAATTATAATTAAAAATAATAAATATTAAGTAACTTTTTTTTAAATAGATTTAATTAATAATAATAGTAAGATCTTGAAGCTGATATAAAATTCAGTTATTTCAGTGACATGCTCCTTCGGAATATTCTAATTTGAATAATGTTTTATTTGTAAAAAGTAATATTCAACAAACTATTACAATCTTTATTGAGAATTAAAAAAAGCAAAAATTCAAAATAGATCGTGTGTTCAATGTATAAAAATAATAGGCTCTGATGCTAGTCATCTGTTCATAATAGTTAAAATATCCTAGTTGCATTACGATTAATGACATAGAAGCATTATGTTATGTTTTTATTTTTATCAATTATAAATAATTTTCAAAAATCTTTTGGACACTTTTTGTAATTACTTACATTTTTAATTAATTTTTAAACGTTTTAATAATTTAAAAAATGAACTCAAACATTAAAATCCATTATATACTTACTCTCCATAATCCTAAGAAACTATAAATAAATTATAAACTATAAATTCTGTTACATAAAATATGATTATATTGAAAATTATTCCACTAATTTTATATTATAGCCTTGTGTTGATGGCTTATTTTTTAAGGAAGATATCAGTGTTTGATTAAATTACTCAATATACAAAGTCTTGAATCATTTTTTTAATTTGTTGATAATCAAATATTGTATATTAAATTATTAAAATTCTTTATAACTTATATGAATTAATACTATAGACGATCCGTATAATATATTTATTAAATCTAAGAAAATTATTATCTTACCTCTTGTAAAGATACTTTAAACGCTATGAAAATCTTCCTAGTAAATTCTCATTATTCTTGAATTTATTGGAAGATTATGCAAATAAATTTTGATAGTTGTCCAATATCACAAAAAGTATTTATTAATAATTTGCATAATTATTATTTAATAATCCAAGATTAAACCGACTAATATACTTAAGAAATCTGTAAATAGATATCCAACTTAAAATATAAACATTCATTACTAGGTGGAACCATAAATAGTAAATTTCTTATCGTATTTACAAATATAATATTCGATTATCTAGCGCAACTTACTTTTTAGTAATAGATTTTTCAACTCATGTTATTTTATACATAGGCAACTGTGAGTCATTTAAAATAATCGACCTTTTACGCTAAAAATGTTTTACTATATCAGTAATCCATAATATATTATAGATATATTCAAATCAAATTTTTTATTTTGTATATACTAGTGTTAATACTATTTTTATTTATCTAATATTTTCACATATCTATCTATTTTTCAAAAATCACAGGTATTTATGGATACTTTATAATATCTGCATAATTGAATAAATTGAATACTTTTATCGTTTACAAATAAAATATTGTGATTAAAGAAATATACAGTTGGAAATGTTCATTGATTGCTTTCATAAATAGTAATTACTTTTCAATTAAAATATAAAATATCTATCTGTTCATACAGCAGACTTGATATTACTTATTAAGTCTATCACCTAAATAAGAAATTATAATTATGTATGATATATAGTAAACATACCACATCGATCCATTGCTATAAGATTTGCACCTCTTCGTAAGTGTAATCGTAGTTGAAAAAAAGCATGTTGACGGAGTGCAAGCTCTCGATATCTCACACTTTCATCCTGTGAAATACTATTTGAGACATTAAATAGCTTGTCGTTTATTTGTTGAATTGGTTCAACAAAATCATTAGTCGAAATAGCTGCAGAATCCGACGAAGCACAAAGCTTTTGGTATTTAGAGGTGTTGTCACTGCATCGGCCGGAACTGACATCATGTGAATTTACAGATGTATCATCAATTTTAGAACGTATCAATGAAGATCCTAAGAAAAATGTAAATGAAAGTTGAATTTTTGTAATAAATACATTAATATTAAATTAATTATGTAAACTTTTTATTAGCCATGTTAAAATTAATTTTTCACAACCGTTTCAGTTACTTAAGAATTTTATTTAGTCCTAATGATTTGTTTTACATCTAATAGATATATTCATAATAAGCCTGTGAAAATATTTTTTATTATTTTATTATTAAAACCTTTAAAATTATTAAATTATGTAACTAATAGTATTAGAAATGAAGATAAATAATTAAGTACAGAATATATGAAAATGTATTACAAATTGTTCATTTGATTTTACATGCAAGGATATAGATATTTTTATTTTATTTTATTACTAAACTAAAAAATAATAAATTAAAACTTAATATGAAACAAACAACAAAATCATTGTTTTCAAATATAGAAAAATTAATTTATAAGAATGATGTAAAAAAATGAATTGTAATAATCATGCAAAGTATGAAATCGTATATGGAATATTTTATCATAAGACATAACACATCATATAATGCTACAATAATATTTCAATTACACCCCAATATATAATGATAATAAAAGCAGAATTGTTATTTTAATAACTCGCTATTTTTTCATATTCCATTTTGCAAAAGCTATAAATCACAGGCTGATGACACTATGTATCGATTTCATTCTACAATCCAACGATACTATTCACCAAGTCCATTGCACAATACAGCAACACTTATAACTTCATTTTAATGTTTATTTGTGAATTCATTGTATATAAAAAATCAGCTAAGTGAAAAAGCATAAAATAAGAGTTTTTAAAATGAAAATATTAATTTAACTTTGAAATATATATAGTTATATTAGATGATAATTCATGCATTAAAATGATTAGTTAACCAGACTGCACTAAAAAAATCTATATATGATTCTATCATTCGTAATATTTAAAGCTGGCATAATTAACCTATTATCAAACACTAGAAGTACAGTATACAAAAAGAAGAGCAAGGTCTCATATTATCATCGATACTTACTGAATTGGCTATTATAGCATTGATGTAATTATATTTTTATTTGTTGAGATAGTTCCTACAGTATTAAAGAGACACATTTAGATGCTTTATTTCAATTACATTAATAATTTACTAGAATATTCATTAAATAGTTAATGAAAGTATTTTTAACAATGTTAAATTTATGACTCACTACTATGATATAGGCAAGGTATTATACAATAATTAACTTAATTGGTCAAAAAAATTCTAAGTATTCTTTATTAATCTAAATAGATACATTATTCTTGTTGATAAATACAATAAAAATACACCCAGATCATAACCTTAATTAAATCATAATTTCTTATAATAATACAAAGTAAATATTATCTTCTGTATCGTTGTACAAAACAATCGATTAAAAAAATACAAGACATAAATTATCATACATTCTTTTTATAATTTTTATTTATGTAAAGTATTATGGGATATAATTTAAACATTATAAAGGGCAAGAAAGAAAGGAAATATGCAAATTAGTCTTAAGCTACAATTTTAATAATCAAACAGTACATCTTTAAATCAAACAGTAAATTTTTAGTAAAAATCAATAACGCTCTTAATATGAATACTGTTGTTGATTTCAACTATAAATAACTAATTGTTATTTTATAATTTCCATATGACTATATACATGATAATAAGATTGACTTCAATCATAATAATATATACAAAATAATTATTATAAATTTTTTGTTGAATGTAGCAACAAAAATTCCTTAAAAAATCAAAAACAGAATCCAAGAACTTGTTATCATTAATTAATAAATGGAACATATAAAAATTACTATATTTTGGTTTACATAAACCTAAAAAAAATTATAGAACATAACAAAAAATCGTAGAACAGAATAAAGATGAGCAAAATACCATTATACATTAATATATGCATGAAAATTATAATTTTTAAAATACATTTAAATTATTTCATGTTTAAATAACTACTATCTATTATGTAAAGTAAATCAGCTTACTTCAAGGTAAGTAGAAGATTTTAATTAATTTAATTTGGATACTTTATACAAACCAAACTTCATTATTAAAAATTTTATTTTACATAAAATTTTCTTAAACTGCAAATAAATTGATACATTAATTTTATAATAAATTATATACAATGATAAACTATTTCAATTGTTTAAAAATTCTAGAAAATTTACATTAAAATTACATTAAAAACAATTTTTTTAATAACAGTTCAAAGTACTATATTATTTTTATATATTTCATTATTTTAAAATTTAAACTTATTTTAAAACTTGTATAGATCATTTCTTCAAACTATTGAAACTAAATTCATTATTATACCCATTAAATAAAAGTAAAAATTATACTTTCTATACGATAACATTTGATAAGAAGAAAAGGTGTCATTTATTTTAACGTATTTAAAATAAATATTTTAAAAAGTATAATTATAAAAAAAAAATATATTTAATAATATATATATACTTCTTATATAAAATAATATCTCTAAGTTTAATTTTATTTAAATTTTATCTATAAATAATAAATTAATTAACAAAAAATTAAAGATATTAAATAAAATATTTGTTTTATTATATTTTTAATATTAATAAAATAAAATGTTTGCTCCATTATTATAATAATATATGAAATATAACAGTTGTAAACAAATAAGTAATGCAGAAATAATATAAATTTAAATAATCCTTCACTGATACAAGAAAATATATAAAATTAAAAAAACTTTAGTTCCGAAATAGAAATAAATACTGATTAACATTCATTACATGTATTTATAATCCAATTATAGATTTTGAGATACCAATAAAAAGTAAGTGAAAATTTTACAAATTAAGACAAACTAATTCACGTGTGCATTTATAGATTACTTGAAATATACAATATATATTAATCTCTTAAAAGATATATTAAATAATACGATATAATAGGAAGTAACTTTGTATACTTTTATGATATAGAAATGAATTTAAAAAATATTGATATTATTACATATAATTGCCGAAATAGTTAAAAATAAAATTTATGAGCGATACTTAGAATTTATTTGGATCAAATTTGGTACATAAATTTGATTACAATAATATATCGAGTTAAATAAAATTAATGATATAATATGAAGATAAATAAAGGATTCAAAAATATTATTTGTTTTATATAAAATACATTGATTTATAAAGTTACCCATACTTGACAAATGTAGAGTGTATTTAAAAAATATAACAGTAAAAATAAACGGCTTTGTTCTCAATTACAATATTTGTAACTTATAGCAGTTATATAAATTTATGAAGATTAAACATTCTAACTTATAAAATAGGTTTTAAAAGCTTCATTAAAATGTACAATATTAATTATAAATTATAAGTTTACATTATGAAAAAGAAATTGTAATTAATGAAACAATTGATTAAATATAATTGATTAATAATAATTATTCATAATCATAGATTATTAAATCTAAAAATTTTAAAATTAATAAATAATATTGTAAATTAAATTAATAATTAAATAACATTAAATTATTGGGTTCATAAAATTTGTCAATATCAATATAAACTTGATTAATTATTTAAAATTATTTATTGTTTTTCTTGTATTCTACGTAAAAAATATAAATGTACATTAATTCTGTATCACAAAAGCAATTGAAATCATCTTTTAAATATATAAAATAATTGTCAAAAAAGAAAACATCTTCTGTAATAAAATAGTTATTTATACAATGAAGTCTATGTTACACTTAAAAACAGCTGTACCAATTATTTTAAGCATTATTAAAGTAATTGTTTACATTTATTATTTTTTACAATCCCAAATATTTAATTTATTGATAAAAAGTGTATATAAACTATTTTAATGAAAATAGGTGAATCCATCTGAAACTAGAAAAATTTAATTAGTATTATATATTTAACAATTTCAGTAATTAATTTTATAATATTAATACATACTGTTACATATATATATTTGATTACATTTGTCAATTCTACCAAATAGTCAATTATATTCAAAACTTTAAATAGCAATTCCTAGTATTTACTTGTTAAATTTTCAAGCAAATTAATTTTTGAAATTTTTTATGCAGCTGTTTTGTAAATGTTTTATTTCTATCGAAATTGCACTCTTAGTTAATTGCTATGTATTATTATATACTCTTTGTAATAATAAAAACTTATCTATAATGTTTTCAATGATTATTTTATTTCTATACTTTTAATATATAATGTAATATATTTAATCATTTTTATTTTTAAAACAATGTGTCAATTTTTAACATTATAATTGAGAAATATTTATCTTTATTTTTATGTTACATGTGTATTTATTGAGAATAAACTTTCTAATAATGCTATATCAAAACTATTGTTTCCAAGAAATATAGTGATCAAAATATTTAGTATTTCAAGGTGCTCATTCTTCAACAGATTTTTATTTTGTATTTGTAACAGTCCAATTCATTTTCTATAATTATTATGTATATTAATGATGTATATTTATCTTTCAAGAAGTATACAATATTATCTATCTAAATATTAAATTTGTTAACATTGTTTTGTACGATCATACACATTTTAATAAATAACACTGACTATATTCCGATAATGATAAATTTTTATTTACACAAGTCCTGAAAAAAACATGCTGATATTTCACACTGCTATTCTCTCGCATTATAATTTCTTCATTTTCAATGTTAAATGGTGGATCTAAATATATCATACGATATTAATATTATTTAAAAATATCTTTCAATAATAACCACATATCGTATAATATTATAAACGTATATAAAAAATGCAATAAGGATGTCAAATTGAATGAATAATTTATTTAAAAAATTCAATATTAATATTATAGTATACAGTTTATATTGTAAATATATTTAGTATAAGCATTATATATAACATATATTCTTAATTTTCAGAAAAAAATTCATAAATCAATTATTTTTTACTGGAAAACTCTGTTAGTTTATATTTTCAATAACATAAATTATAAAAAATACATTGTAGTTCATATACATAAGTATGCTCCTATATTAAAAGCAAATAACTACAATGATAAAAATATTAAAAAATCATGCAATATACTACTCCAAATTATAATATACTGCACACACATATATATATATATATATATATATATATATATATATATAGAGAGAGAGAGAGAGAGAGAGAGAGAGTGAATATATTTAAAATAAAATACATTAAAATAGTTATAAAATGCAATTTTTGGAACGAACTAAAATTAATAAATAAATTGGAAATTATATTTAGAATTACAAATAGTTTTTGATTAAAAAAAAATATAATATAAATATAAACATATATATAAAAATGAATTAATTCTGTTTTAGAAAATGATAATTGATTGATAATTGATAATTTACTTTTAAGATCTTAATTTTTTCAAAATGAAACATAATTCACGTAAAATTTTTATATTTGTTTCAATTCTGAGCATGTATGAGGGTATTCAGTACGTAAGTATTTCATGATGATTTCATACTATGATTTCAATATTACACGGATAATCAATATTATACTGAAAACAGAGAGAGAGGGGAGAGGTAGAGAGAGAGAGAGAGAGAGAGGATTACTCTTTCAACATAATAACAAAAAAATAATAAGAATTCATTATTTTCAATGGGCGAAAGCAATTATTCTTTCTGACCTAATCACCTAAAACTAACTAAAAATTATTTATGATAACAACAGATTGTAATTGAATGTATCTAATTTCCAAATTTATCAAAGTATATAATATTGATTAATCCAATACAGAAACATAATTGAAATAGTGAAAAAAGAAATTCATACCAAAATGACTAAAGTAATGCCTGGCAGGACTATGAGTTGTGGATGAACTTCTGCTTTGTTCCGAAGAATAATCTGCTGTATAATCCGATTCTTGGTTGATACTGCAGTTCCCTTGCAAGTCTAACAGTATATCCGCATCCTTGGTCTTCTTACGGTCCTTACTACGGTTCCCATGCCAGCGTGATTTCAACGTAGTAAAAAATGTATGTGTACGTTGAGCTACCGAAATATGACGATGCTGTTGTTGAACAATTTCGCTAGTAGCTGTACAAACTAGTCGATGTTCCGGTGAAGGACCAATAGATGAACTATTCTCATTATTTATATTATCACGGAGTTCCGTAGCACTACGTGATAACTTACGGCTACTGTTCACATTTAGCCGGGAGCAATCTTTTAAAAAACTTTCTTCTGAAATTGGAAAATATACATTCTCGCATTTAAACAGACAATTAAATATAATTTAAATAAAAAATCACAATAAAAATAAAACTATCTTTCTTGTAATATTAATTTAAAAAAACATTTTTTGCTTAATTACGAATGAAATAAATAATTATGCAAAAATGAGTATGATGTATTTTTATTTTTTACAATATAATATCTAACAATTTTTTATATATTTTTTTTATTAATTCTTTATAAAAGACATTTTTTATTTATTATATTTTATTGATACACATTGATACATTTATTGAAATTCATAATTTAATCAAGCTATTCGTGTTAATAGTTACATGTGATTGATGGTTTATGAGTGCATTAAAATTAGAAAATAATATAATTAATCAAAAAGTTATTTCCAAAGCTTGATGAAACTAGATGGTACATAATCATTATAAAACAGAAAATATTAAATAATTACTTGCTTATTGAAGTATTAATATTTAATTTAATTGAGTAGTTAAGATAAGTAAATTGATCATAGTTTTTATTTATTAATGAATTGTTATTACTCTTTTAAATAATAATCGAATACATAATCAAAATTATTTATAATAACTCGCATATACTTGTAATTGATTTAATAATTACCTTCAATAACAGATTATTTTAAAAAATACAAATATGATATTAATGCCCAGCTAAAAGTATTTATAGTGAAACAAGAATTTTTTTAATTAAAAATTTATTTTTAAAAATGATTGATGGAGAAAGTAATATATTAAAATTTGTAGCAGTTCCTTATAAAACTTGATAATAATATCAATTAAATCAACTTAAATACCCCTAAAAAATTTTGCGATACATTCTTTAGTGGAAGATTGTCTAAATCGTATTCAATCTTAAATATAACAGATGTATAATAGTTACAAAAAGAATTAGACCAATGCATGAACTTCTGAATGCCAATAAGCAATATTAGTGCACAATAATAATTATTAATATTTATTATTACCAACGTTGAATAAACTGTATTGTTTATGATGTTGCATTATTGAAATTTAATTATTAACATAAATAATTATTTTATTTCATACTAAAGCCACTAAATAAATCATCCAAAAAATCCATTACACATTACTAAATAACCATTTGTAATATGCAATATTTCTTTTAGTAAATCAAAATATACATCTTATTTTAAATGAATATACATTCAAATATGTAACTGTTTATGTATTATTTGTAAATACTTTCTCATACATTCTATTCTCTAAATTAACCTATTGGAATTTTCGTTTTTTCAAATATAAAAAATTATATATATGGAAGCGAATTTAAATCAATCGAGCAATTTCTTAATAAGCCGAAAAAATGTTGAAGTATACAATGAGATAGGATTAAATAGTTAAATACTTTGAAATAATGCACAATAAGAGAAATTATGTTACAAAATTAATTAAATTTTAGTAAAAAAAAATATTTTTCAGCTAAAAATTATTAGCATTTTGCGTCACTCTTGCACCTGAATTTTAATTATACAAAAAAATAATAGTATTAATGCACATGTATATATAAAAATTTATATATAAATAAATACAAAATATTTTGAATTTTATTAATTAGAAACTGACCATACATATAAACAAATATTTTTGTTGTGTATATTGAGAAAATAATTATCATGATAAAAGTATGTTAAAAATTTTGAATTATCATTTAATAGCTGCCAGAATTTCAGTAAAGAAATAATATTAATTTGAAAAAATGAAATAAATTTATTAACTTCAAAATAATTTATTTAGGTTTATTTTACTTATTTAACGATATATAAGTATATAAGAAATAAAAAGTAACTATTTAACCTTAACTACATGCTTCCAAAGATATTTTCATAAAATTGAACATTATAAAAAAATTTTTGTTAATTGATTATAAATATATTTTGGGTACATTTATATAGTAACATTTGTTATAGTAATATTTGAACAAATAAGTAGATGAAAATACTTGTTTATTCCATTTTTTAATATCGGTTATTTTGCATATTTTTATATTGGTATTGGTATAGTATGTGTTCATTATATTTAAATCAACATTTCTTAATTTTTATTTCAAATAATTAATGAAATATTTATTATTTAGGTAATACAAATATTTAAATTTAAAATTCGGTATAGACCTAAATTATTTTTGTTTAATATATGATATATATTTATATTAAATTACTATTAAAAAATGCTTTTCAAATGTTTACATTACTAAATTAATAATATAATATCTCTAAACTGATTTTAATAGATTAGTCATATAAAATTATATTTTAATATCTATTTTTAAATTTTATAAAAAATAATTCGTTTTTCTATTTAATTATGGTATACAGTAAACGTAATTCGTATTACATATCTATTTTATGAAAACATGATATAAAAATAAAATGTTACAATTAATGCGAAGTATATTTTTAAATAAAATTTTTTAAATGTCTTCTTTGTATAATTGTATAAATAAATGTAAGCATTATACATTGAATGTTACCACTATCTATATTTTTCTAAAGACATTTTTTATAAATGAAATTAAAAAATTGTATTTTAAATTATTCTAAGATATTTACCTTAATAATATTATTGATATTTATGAGTTTATATTCACCTTCTACAATTTTAATATCTTCAGAGCTTGTGAGAAATTTGATGGTCTTACTCATTATTTATCCCTTTACAAACAATAAAAGAATTAAAGAAAGTTTTCTTGAAGTAAAAAATTTATTACTAGAGTTTATCATATTCTCTATATTGATTTAACTGCATAGACACATATAACTGGATTTAAAATGCTATCATATCTGATTATTGAATGTTTTGTAACATACTCGTTATTGCTTAGTATTGTTAGATACTAACAAAATATAGATAACATCAAGTTTAAATATTTTATTATAATATATCAATATCATTATTAATTATAGTTTCCATTTAAATCTGCAAAATACGAATAAGTTTCAAATAGTATTGAAAAATGTTTAGTTATAATTATTAATTATAGTTATATTATTAACAGTTTATAGTGATGTAGTGTTTAATATATGTCATAATATTTTTTAAGTAAATTTGAGCAAGTAATACATTAAGGAGTTTAGTTATAATGAAGCAAAAATACGATATTTAAACTTTAAATACCAGTTAAAAATTACTTTCACTTTGTATTTCTTAAAAAATGAATATTGTTTATAAAAAAATGTTATATTTCTATTATGTTTATTTAAAAATAAATTGATACATAATATTAAATAAATTATTTCTGCTAAATCATTTATTCTCATATTTCGAATTAATTCTCTTCTTATATCGTGCTGATCATAATAAATATTCTGTACTGACATATCTATTTAATTAAGTAACTTATACTCTCTCTCTCTCTCTCTCTCTCTCTCTCTCTCTCTCTCTTTGAACTCATCAACTATATCATGGCATTGGAATATCATTTTTACCAAAGAATCGACATGATCAATTTATAATAAACTTCTTCATTAGATGCTATATACTGTGATTGAACAAAGCGCTTTATTTAGACGCCAACATTATTTAACAATTTTTTTCGTAATCGTGTATCCCAATGTGTTTTTTTTTAATATATTATATTGTAATACTGTATTAAATAATTTACAAACCTATCAAGATATCTGTAAAACACGTCTTTTTGAAACAGTGCATTTGAAGCCACTTATATTTTACCAATATACTGCATTTTCCTCAACAAATCTGCTGGTACCGCTAGACTTTTTAACTTAAAAACTAATCACTCATCCCATAAGTATATCTTTAATTCTGATACTGCTCAATAAATTAATGTATAGTATATGCTAATCTAATTGTACACATGATAGACTATAATAATTTGCATATTTTTTACTTCAACTGAATCGTATTTCTACTAATAAAATTATTCCATTCAGCAATATTAAATTCAATAAAAAAATTAATAGTGCCTTTCAATGAATATATCACATATAAAATTAATCAATACTATTATTAATTTCAATATTTCCTGTAAATTTACTGCAATAGTATATATTGAAATTATGTTTAATTTGTAAATTTTTCATATTTATTTGTATTATAAAAAAAATATAAATACCAATAGATAACATACTTTATAAATATTCAGTATTTATAAATATAGTATATTTACAAATTTATAATATTTACAAATATATTTATGCAAGGGTGCTTACATACAATCTGCGTGACGAATATGCTCTTTTGTACCCTCAAATATATAGCAATTCTTTGGTCGCTTGCAAATTGATAAATACTATAATTTCCTTTTTTTAGAATTATTTTTACAAGCCTATAATACTAATTGGAAATATAAATAATCGTTACAAAATAATTATTTGCCCGTTTTTATGTATGTATACAGATATTTGTGCGAAAAGTACAAATATAAACATTATGTGTATTTAGTTTATATGTATGTATATAGAATGTGAATGTATATTACATTTATTATTTGCAGCTATATTTAACTTCTTAAACTAGTAGAGCAATATTAATATTTATCAGCAATATAATGCCAGAGACAGACAGACAGAGAGAGAGAGAGAGAGAGAGAGAGAAATAAATTAATTACAAGTTGCCGATTAGCGAATATAATAGAAACATAATATGTAGCACTTGCTCTAATAATTCTTTCAATTAATAAAGCAATTCATAAGACGTTGATAATAATAATTTATTGAAAATAAAAATGAAAAATAAATATAACAAAGTTGCCAGTTTTATAAAACAATATATGAATTTACAAATAAAACTGTTTAAATATTAATATATTTTACTATTTGCATGTTTAACGAAATGCCTAATAATATAAATCAATTTTAACACAAATATCTGAAAAGTATATTTACTCAGTGGAAGTACTAGAACCATATGATATCAAAATCAGGCATATAGGATATTTGATAATCTCGTTTAAAAATTATCGATTCATCAATCAATCAACGTTACTTCCGTTACGTAACAACACTATGGCAGTAATTAGTACTTTCAATAAAAAAAATAAGAAAGACTATTTTCAAATATTTTGGATTGAAATAAAATTACAGAGAACCAGTAGTGGATGAATTAACAGAATCAAGTTCTTAAATAGAAAGCAAATAATGTGCATTATAAATTTCAATATCCATTCCATCTACCTTGTATCAAATAATAACCTACGGTTATTCTATATGTAATAACATATGTTTATGTACAACAAATATTTATGAAAAATAAAAAAAATTATATAAAATGCAAAAAACAGAGTTGATTCATCTAACGTAACATCAAACAAAATATAGTACGTCTAAATAAATGCAAGCGAACACCAGATCAAATTACATTACCATAAAAATATTAATGAGCTCACAATTCATACTATTGACTATTGTAATGATATTACTATTCTGAAATACTATGAAAAGATGAAGACCTATTATGATTTATTGATTAACAAAAATTAATAAAAATTTTTTATGTATTGCTTAATATAGTTTAAAGAAAGAACATCTGTTAACTTGCATGAATTCAATAAAAAGTACGCATAGATGAATATTTGTTAGACCCTTTTTTCATTTTATATACTATGATCATGCATATATAAGTTTAAATGGTATTTTTAAACTATAAAATAGATCTTCTACATAATAAAAACAACACCAATACTATATAAAAATTAATTCTGAAGGGATAATAATAAGATAAGTAATAACAAATTGACCAATAAAATTAGACCAGTTCTAGAACTACAATTATTACACTTGTGAATTAATATGAAAGTAAAATAATTTTCTTTTATCTTTGTTTCATCTGCATCAAATAAAATAACAACATGAATTTCAAATTTATTGTTAAATTATTTGAAACAAATATGTATTATATCATATCTTGTGTAACAATTGAAAAATTAGCCATCGTATATTACTAGGTTATAAAATCATTTACTATATCTATATAGATTTATATAAAGAGATATCTCTAGATAAGCTACCGATGTGATTGCAATAATCAACATTTTCTTTTTATTAAGGTTTGCTTCTTGTACTGCAAACGTTTAGCAAAAAAACTTTAAGATTTTAATTAATAACTGATTAGAAAGTGTAATAAATATATACTAAAGGAATGTAACTAGATCTCGTATTGATAGACTTATGAAATCATAATAAGTACTGCGTACGCAGTAAGAATGGAAAAGATGTACAAAAATTAAAATACAACAAAATAGAAAAGAAAATCAAAATAAAAGCTTAAGGCACGTTATTAAATAATCAAAGCACTACCAATTCATTCAAAAAGAATTTTCAAAAAGAATTAGAACTTTATTTTTGTAAGTAATCGATACAGATGAATTGAGAAAGTTTACAGATTTACAGATTGAACCTGGTGTGCATCAGTATTAGAACTTTGATTATCGATATTACATTTCAATTATATTTTTTGTCAGGACAAAGAACGACAAAAAGTGGAAATTATTTAGAAAATTAACTTTCGGTCATCACATAAGCAACGCCATACAAATAACGCCTCAGCATATTCGAGATTCGAATTTCAACATTAAAATTAAATTTATTTTATACGAGCCTACCCGTTTTTCATACTTTTGTTAAAATAATTTTAAAAAATTTTCATCATTTTATAATCTAATTTAAACTGTCTTGAGATTTTACATACGTGTGATTTATAAACATAATATTAAAGTAACATATCACAATCTCTCCGCTTATTTTAAAGCAATTAGTATGGTATTGACACTTAAATGTATGCAAAAAATCCTAATATTTTGTGAATTAAATTAAACACTATGAATATTATTTATATATGATTATTATTTCATTACATTTATAAATAAAAACTTTCATATATATAAGTTATTTCATATATAAAAGAAAAAATATAAATAATACAAAAAATATCCTCTTTAAATAGAAAACTTACAGTCATTATTTTATTAATAAACATACTACAATGCATATAATGCTTATCAAAATAAAAAAATAAAACACAAACTTTCTTTGTGAATGAAAAATTTTGTACTGATTTACCGAAAAGCTACAAATACAATGTCAAATAAGAAACTAAATATTACCTTAATGTTTTTTATTATAATTCTAAAGTGTGAATTCAAATTTTATATAAAATTTCTCACTTTATATAAAAATTATATATTCAAACTTTCTTCACCTTCATTTGATTACATTTTCAAACAAAATTATATTAATAACTTACAAAAAATTGGTGAATAATAGTATTAATATACTTACTTATTCTATCTACTTACTGAAATTTATGATACTTTATAAAGGCTTACAAATTTTAAAATTCATAGAAAAAACGAAGAACCGTTTAATAATACAACATCCATATTTCTATTGTGCATACCAACATTTCTTAATTAATTTACTGTATATTAAAAAATATATATAAATTGATAAAATCACTATCACTTATGCACTTAATATATAGTTAAAAACTATCAATTTAATTTAGTAAGTTAATTTACTACAAAACCGAATACTTGAAAAAAATTATGAATAGTTCAGGTAAATCTTTAATTATTTCATACTATTAAACTCACTTACTTTTGAAAATAAAATATTATTATTGCTGCTTTCTAAAATATGTAAAATATGGATTTATAATCTTTTATTAATAAATATATCATTATTGAATATTTAAATACAACATTTATTTAATTAATTAAAAATGTTGTATAGAATATTTTCAAAAATCTACAAAAAATACTATAAGTATTACTAGATGGGAAATATTAGTAATAATATAGATGTAAATAGAAAAATGAACTATATTATATTCATATTACCTTAAAATGAAACATTAAAATTACAGTTGCATATAAAATAGTATAAAAAATAAAGTTTTCATTTATATTATATTTAATAGTATCAAAAAATAGTAATTATATTATGTAAAATACAACTGATAGTTCTTTTTCTAATGTAAATATATTATAAAAATATTTTTTTTCTAATAATTTAAGTGACTCATATTTAAAATAGCGTAAAGAAAATTATTTCTAAAACTTGGAACTATTTTATTTATTTTTTAAATTGATTTTTATTTTTCCAATAATCTATATTTTTTCAATAATCTTTGTAAAATTTCAATTTCTTTAAATAGCATTTTCTTATACTCAATATGCAAAGTATCATATAAATAATAAAATTATAATTATATAAAATTTATTCTGAACATTTATATTATTGCTTTTATTTATAATATCGAAATATATATATATATATATATATATATAGCGAGTGAATCACCTTTGAAACATATATAATTTTAACTGGCAATTATAAGCAATCATAATAACTAAATTGTTAATAGTTTAACACTTTTTTCTAATTTTATACTAATTACCACTAAATACGTGTATACCTTCCTTCATTTCTTCTTTAATTCCATCCATTTTTTTATACCCTTAAAAATTATATTTTCCATTTACTTTATCATAATAACTAACACGTATAACTTTTTGTAAAAACAATATATTAAATATTATATACCCAAGAAGCATGCATATTAAGACATTGCACTACACAATAATAGTACTAGAATTTTCTTAGATTTAAGTAAACCTGCTATTTGTGCACTTGAAAGACCACTGGCAACGCTTTCAAGCATTTGCTCTATGGATACTATGGATAGGAAAGAAAGGAAACAGAGGGAAAGGGTGAAAATGTTCACTGGAGGGGAGTTATAAAGCGAATAGAAGAGAGGATGCAAATATTAACTGGAGGGGAATCATGAATCATCGAATAAATAGAAAAATTTAATAAAATTTTGAAAAAATAAAATACTTACGTGCTTAAAATAAAGAGAGAGATGAGAATGAATATATACAATTAAAAAATAACGAAATACTAGAAAGAGTTGAAAAAATAATTGTAAAATATACTTTTATTTATGTATTTAATACAATGTAAAGTAATAGTAATTAATGTAAAACTAACAATCTTCGCTTAGACTTTTATAAATATTTATACGCAATTCTATATAAATCAATAACACCATAACCAAGTAAATTAAAAAAATTTTAAAGTAAACGCTAAAATGAAGAAAAATTAACTTAAAATCAAAAATAATACAGTAAAAAAAGCAAACTAATAAATATCAATTTAAAATATACAGTACCAAAATATGTTAAATGAAAAAAATGTACAAAAGAATCTAAACATTTTGGTCACTGAAATAAGTAAGGCAAAAAATAAAATATTATTAGGAAATTAAAAATAATTTTGATGAAATTCAAGACAAAAATAAAGAGTAGTATAGTATTAGGTAAAAGGTGAAAGCTATATCGACCGTAGCTGATTTAGTAGGAGAAATGATGATGTACCACTCAACACCCTCAAAAACTGCAATACTTTAAACAAAGATAAGAAATCAATTCTTCACATAATGAATACAATGATCAAATATTCAATTTATTAAATATTTTTGACAAAAAAAATATTACAAATATAAGCTCCTAAATGAAATTAATTATTTTAAATTAATTCAACACGCGCATGCGTTGAAATGAATATATACACAAGCGTAAATTATGTATATATATATATATATTTATATAAAACATTATTTTATATATGAGCTAAACTAGGAATTCCTAAAAAATATACATTCTTTAATGTACTGAAAGATGTTAATTTAAATTTATCTATATACATTGACATAACATTTCATAAATCATATCAAAATACACTATAATGAAGAAGAATATACAGAAGAAAAATAATATAAGAAAAAAATATAAAAATCTTCCTATTAAAATATTGTATAAATATCTTAATATTTTATTTTTAATATAATACAATTTCAATTATATAATAATATTTCATTTATCAAATAGTTGAACATATTTCATATTCCTTAATCAACAAATTTATTTCATGTACACTTCTATACATTATATAGATTATATATATATATATATATATATATATATATATATATATTATATTAAAATAATTGTTATATTTATTAGAAAGATATCTTAACTTTTTGTTATATTTTATATTTCTTGTGTATTGAACAATGAAATATTTTTTGAACAATTATCTTTTTTAAAAGAATATATATCGTTATTCATATGAACATTATTATTATCAATATTATTATTTATAAACAAAAACTAAATTAAATACGATTTTATCTTAGGAAATGTCTCTCAAATGATATAATCAACATTAATACAACTAATTTTATTATATCGATAAAAAATGACTACCTATTCATTATAAAGTGTTTATTATTTTAGGCTTTTATAGATCTCTGCTTAGATAACAAGTGATGAATTTATAATTAAAAGCATATTTATTTATTTTATTATAATTGAATCATATTTTTATAGGTTTAGTAAATAGTATGAGGCTAAATAATGATATATAGAACATAGATAAATCTTTCTGATTTAATTGAAGTATGTTATAATCTAAATTTATTATAATTGAAACATAATAAAATTATGAATAAGATTAAAAACTTCGTTTCTTATAATAATTATAAGAAATATTTTCATATTTATTGTTTTCTTCTTTTAAATTTAATAATCAATAAATTTTTAATATTTTGTATATTTTAAATAATATTCAAATTATTATACTTTTCATCTTTTTTATACAGTGTGGTGTTTCATAAATAAGTGCACAACGAAAGATCGCTGTTGATTAGTATTAAATATAATGTCTAATTATAAATGAAGATAAGACATAACAATTAAAAGAAAGTAGGGAAAATTAAATGAATAGAAGAAATACAAATATTTTTAATGAAGAGGATATGCAGATATGCGAATATTCATTGGAAGTCAAGAGTCAGATGTTAAAAAAACGCCAAATTGCTAAAGTGCCGGCACATTCTCTATGTATTATTACTTTTACTTTTTTTTGTAGATGAAAATAAAATTTGTATATGTTTATTTTCAAAACAAACATATTTAAAATCATATATTTTGATTTTATTATTCCGTTATGATACAACATAAATAATAATAATTTGTTGTAATGACAAACTTTCATCGTTTAAACTTCAACTTTTACATCGTTATTTTACAATTTACATTTGTATTTTATGTAAATCTATCATGGATTTAGCAACTAATTTATATAAATAATTCAAAATTTATTGATAGCAAATATAATCTTCAATTTCAACTTTTTCATTTCAAATGCTTTGGAAAATTAATACGTTTATATTGTTAATTTTAAAACTTATAACTTATATAATATTAATTATATAATATAAGAAATAATAATTTTAATTTTATACTAATATTATAAATCCTTAAAACTAAACAATAAAAATATGAATAATTACTTTATAAATACTTTTATTAAATAAACGAGAATTCATTTACGTGCTTTATAATTGCTCTAGAAATTAATTATATTTTTAAAATAAGAATGTGTATTTATCAATAATAAAGTGCCTTAATTATTTATAATTTATAAAGATGTATTCAATTTTTATTAATAACAAAACAAAAGAAGAAGGACAAAATCAACAAAATCATGTTGTAAAATTATGTAGCATACGATATTATGTTGTTAGTTCATATTTCATTACTTTTATATGAAACATAAATTATAGCAATATGTAATATTTATCTCTAGTATTTATTAAAGTATTAATTTTCTACTTATATTTTGTGATATTTTACACAGAATTTTCATTATTTCATTAGTAATATTATAATAAATTTATATTATTTTGCTTATAAGATCAACTACAATAGTTTAATTTTTAAACAAAATGTTAAATAAATAAATATTTTTAATGATTTTTATTTTAATTTTCTATTTTTTATAAGCAAGTTAATTAAAAATAAATGCTTAGTTTTTTATTTATGAATACAATTTTTTCAATAGAAAACATCAGAACTACAAATGCAAAGTACTATGCAAATATTAATGAAAATTTCATTGGAGCATATTGTAATAATTTGCATAAATTATATTTTTTATCTTAGAAATCTATAAATTTTATTAACTTATAATTTAAATTTTATACATTTGAATTAAATTTCAAAATATATATTAATTATAACATACAGTATTAGTAATTATACTAAAAACTATGTGAGATACATTAAATAAATTTTAATAAGGGTAAGAAGGTTTCAAAACATTGTTTTGCATTATATATAAGTCAATTTTTCCTAAGGCTCTACTATTTTTCGTATCATTTCAAAAAATTAAACAAATCATACTGGCCTTATCATAATCATTGCAATATTTTCATATTTCTCTGTAAATATCAACTTAACTGGAATAATATATTATATTCGAAGTTTACTATATTGACAGTATTTAGTGCCCTCATAAAATCATCAGTTTTTTTACATAACCATGAAATATTAAACATAAAATTTTTTCTTTATGTAAATTATTTTATTCCTTTATACAACTATAAAATCAACTTATGATAATTAGAAGTATATAAATTTTATGCAAAACATTATTTATTATTTTCACTATTTCGTATGCTTTTTCTTTATATACATAATAACTAATTAAATTCTTCAGACTCTATCATAAATATCAATATATTCAGAATTCAGTATGATCTCAGAAGCTTCAATTTCTTCTCGATAAATTATAATTTTAAAATTTAAACATTTCTAAAATAATACTCGATGATTTGAATTTTATTTTAATTTTAACTATTTTTAATTTTGATTAAATAAAAATAAAATATTCCAATAATACTGTAAACATTTATTTATTCATATTTTATTGAGTAAGACAATACTTTTAAATAAACTCAAGAATATTACAGAAAAAATATCTATAAAGTAAATCGTGTAATCTTTCATTTAAATGAATTAATATAAATTAATTTAATTAGAAGCTATAAAATATGTATATTTATGATTAAATAATAAACTTAATAATATTATTGAGTTTTGAATAATATTATTAATTTGACTAAAAATACCACTTATAAATATTCAATTTTATAAATATGATTACTAATGCGATTAAACTGATTTATTATATCTTATAGATTTCACAAAAAGTACGATATATATTTTTGTTAATATGCAAACATATGTACTAGTGACAATACGATTATCAGGGATGAAAATATATTAATATACATGTAACAAATGAAATGTAATATATTAATTAATTTTTCTATTTATATATGCATATAATAACGTATGTTTTTTGCATATTATTTATATTCCAAATTCTCACAAATTTTAAATAATATAAAAATTCAATGGTTATCAAAGTTCAAAAAATAAAAATATAAATTCAAAATAGAACCAAATATAAATAATGTATTGTTATTGCAAAAAAAGGTGGTTTGTCAAGATAGGGATTTTCCATATTTATTTCATTTGAATTTGCCTATTGACCACAGTAATCCTGCCTTATATCAATACAAGTACAATCATTTCATCGTAAACACTATATTAATAATACAAGTCTTGCTTTTGTCTTGTGTTGGCATTCACGCAACATTTTTGCTTTGATGTAAGGATAAATATGAATGCGTTCGAAAGGGAGAATATTTGTGCATACTCATCTATATATATAATAATGAAAGGGAATTCGTGTATGTACGTATATATATATATATATATATATATATATATATGTAACTACGTACATACACGAATTCCCTTTCATTATTATATATATAGATGAGTATGCACAAATATTGACCATAAGCTATTTGCGATTCAATCCATAAAGAGCATGCGCGTGTTG